TGTTAAATTGTGATACTAAATTGAGGTCTGTTGTATTTAGGTTTACTATCTTCATTTCAATTATTATACCATGTACCATTTATCTGCGATCCATTATTTTCTAACATTTAATATCTTAATAAAAAATATTTTTTTGTAATTACTGTATAGTGTTATATCTCATCTTCAAAACTTTATTTTTTACCACAAATTTTCATATGCAATTTCTGTCTCTAGCTATGGCACTGTTGCTTTTGTATTCATTATTTATATGTTTATATTTTCATATTGTTGTCCTTTTTTTAAGTTAGGGGTGCAGTGATAGTAGCTTGTTAGACTGTGTTAGTAGAGAGAGGAACATAGATACGTTGGATCATTATTTAGTGGTAACTATAGTAAAATTGAGGGGTAGATGGAGTACAAGGAGAATGACATCAGTGAAAGTGAATGAACTGAAGGAGGAGACAGGGAAAGAATTTTTTTTTTCTTTTCAACAAACTGGCCGTATTCCACCAAGGCAGGGTGGCCCAAAAAGAAAAACGAAAGTTTCTCTTTTTAAATTTAGTAATTTATACAAGAGAAGGGGTTACTAGCCCCTTGCCCCCGGCATTTTAGTCGCCTTTGTAACACGCATGGCTTACGGAGGAATAATTCTGTTCCACTTCCCTATGGAGATAAGAGGAAATAAACAAGAACAAGAACTAGAAAGAAAGTAGCAGAAAACCCAGAGGGGTGTGTATATATATGCTTGTACATGTATGTGTAGTGTGACCTAAGTGTAAGTAAAAGTAGCAAGACATACCTGAAATCTTGCATGTTTATGAGACAGAAAAAAGGACGCCAGCAATCCTACTATCATGTAAAACAATTACAGGCTTTCGTTTTACACTCACTTGGCAGGATGGTAGTACCTCCCTGGGCGGATGCTGTTTACCAACCTAGTACCTAAAACAGGGAAAAATATAAGCAACTATTGGGAGAAAAGAAGTCTAAAGAGAGAGTACAAGAAATGAGGTTGAGGGAGTATGGGTAAATTTAAGAATGCAGTGCCAAAGTGTGCAGCAGAAGCTTGTGGGTTGCCAGCAGTAACAGCCTGGTTGATCAGGCAAGTACCAGACAAGTCTGGCCTGGGCTGGGCTGTGAGAGTACAGTAACTCTAGAAACCTTGCAGAGGTATATGTCAAAGGTAAAGATGAGTATAAGAGGGTGGGTGCAGGTAAGTAGAGGAATGATTGTTGGAATGATGAGGTGAAGAGGGTATTAAGGAAAAAAATTAACACATGAGATTTCACAATGTAAAAAAGTTATATACAGAAGGCAGATCATATGGAGAAGAAAAAAATGGTTAAGGGAGTGCAAAAGGAGAGCCAGTGAGAGAATGGGCAAGTCTTTTATCAGCAAATTTTGCTAAGAATAAGTAATTATTTTAAATAGAATTCAATAAAGTAAGGAAGTCTGGATAGCAAATGGACTTAGCAGGTAAGAACAAGGAAAGAGAGATGTTAGATGGGGAGGTGGAGGCACTGGAAAGATGGGTAGGATATTTTGAGTTGTTGCATATTAGTAATGAAGGGAAGACATTGGGTAGGGAGGGATAACATCATATAGGATAGTATGTGAGGCAGTGGGGAGAAATATAAGAATTATAGGGGGAGAAGCCTGTTGAATATACCAGGTAAAGTGTAGGGTAGTATTATTATTGACAGGGTCAGGGGAAAGAGAAAAAGTATTATTGTAGAGCATGAAGGATTTAGGAAGAGTAGGGGATGTGTAAACCAGGTGCTTATGTTGAATAATATAAGTGACCGGCACTTAGATATAGGTAAAGGGCTGTTTGTTGCATTTATATATTTAGTAAAGGCATATGATAGAGTGAACAAGAAAACCATGTGGCAGATGTTGAAAATGTCTGGAATAGGTGGGTGGTTGTTGAAAACAGTTAAGTGTTTTTATGTGGTTAGGTTATGTAGAGGGGACTATTTTCCAGTGAAAATAGGAGGTAGACAGTGATGTGTGATGTCACTATGGTAGTTTAATATATTTGTAGATGAGGTTGTAAAAGAAATGAACGCTAGGGTGTTGGGGAGACGTGTGGGATTAAAGGTTGTTGGATCTGGTATCAAGTGGGGGTTATCATAGTTGGTCTTTGCTTATGACAGCTCTTTTGGGAGATTGTGAAGAGAAGTTGTAAAGGTTGGTGGATGAATTTGGGAAGGTATATAAAATTAGGTAATTAAAAGTGAATATAGAGGAACAAAGTGATTAGAGTAATAAAGATATGTTATAATTCATTTAGTTGTTTGTGTTTGGACCTTTTGCTATAATTGAAGATATTTAAACAATTACTGGTACTAAGGACACTTTTTGCAGTATTTATTGTATGGTACTGTAATTTTAAATATGGTCTGTAGGTTTTTCACTAGTATACGAGATGCTATCAAAAAGTTCCTGGACTGCCACGAAAATAATACATATGCTTACCTAATCACCTAGTTGAAATTGCCTCCTGCCAAGTACTCTCCTTGGGAGGCTATTCATTGATCCTAGTGCCATTGCCACCTCCCAGATAAATTCTGGAACTCTTGACAATGACAAGTATATTTTAGCATGATACATGTTTGTACAAAGGAGTGTAACAATTTGCAGAGCATTTCGGGCAAACTTAAGGCTAACTTAAGATCAATAAGGAAATAACAGTGCAGTAATTTTACATATCGTCATTAGGCGAGTTAATATGAATACAAGAAAATTGAATATTCAGCTTGAAGTTCATGCTATTTGGCTTTAGTAAGTTCAGTAGAGAATAAGAATAATTATAATTTTGATATAGTTATAAAAAATACAATATTACAATTTAGTAATTTAAAGCAATGAAGTTGAAAGAATTTTAAGTAATGATTAAATAGTTGAGCAATCATCAAGCACAATATACAATAATGAAATTGAAACAATTTTAAGTTTGAAGTAAATGATCAAATAGTTGAGCAGTCTTAACTTATTTAGGAGTTTTTTGAGTAACTGGTAGGTATTAAGTGTTTGTCTGGTTAATTTTGGGTGATGAGGTGATTTCTCAGTAAGGCCTTAAATTGATTTACAGGCAGCAGGGGCCCTTTAGTGTGTTCAGGCAATGAATTCCAGATCTTTGGGCCCTTATGTGCATAGCATTTTTGTACACGGAGAGATGGACACAAGGGATATCGAAGAGTGATTTGTGTCTTGTATTATGCCTGTGTGTTCTGTTATAGTTATCAAGGAGTAGTTTGAGAGGAGGGTTAATATTTGAGTATACAGGTGGCCCTCCACATTCGTGAGTTCCACTTTCGTGAGCTTCAAACATTTGCGAATGCCCAGCCGCCCAATCATATTTATGCTTCCTCACCCTTGAAAAACTAGGGCAAGCGATGAGAATGACAGCACAGCTCAAACAATTTTTTTGCGACATAGACCCATCGATGTTGAGGGCTTTGAAGGTGATGAAAGACGTTGATAGGAGCATAATTCCCTACAAAACTCTGTTTGTAGATATGAAGAGGAAACAGTCTCAGATGCCCATCACAATGTTTTTCACGAGGAAGCCTGCCACAACTCCTGTTGCTAACTCTGACTCTAGCGGTGTCGATGATCCACCGCCTATTATTGGCAGTGACGCTGGCAGTGAAGTTAGAATCCACACACTAGACTTATCATGCCATGCAGTTACACTCCATATAATCACCTCCATTCAATTATCATCAGTAACTGCATGGCTAACTATCACCACCATTATCATCGGCATTGTCATCATCATCACAAGTCATCAGAGTTCGTCTGCCTAACCGTACGAGTGATGAGTGTTTTGTTTGTTGCTTATTTGTTATTAAACCTTAACATGTATGTATATACAATACATGTATGTATATTACAATTGTTTATGGTTCAGTAGGTTAAGGAAGCAGTATTGTTAGGCTAAGTAAATGCTATTATTATATTTCCCTACAACATATTTGTGCACCAAACATTCGTGAATTTTCAACATTCGTGAGGTTCTTGATTCCCTAACCCTCACGAATGTGGAGGGCCCTGTAATGTTCTGTGTGTGTAGTAGGCACAATAATAAGTGTGGATGTTTTATGTATTAAGCAAGTTAATGCTCTTAAAAAGCAGTGGAGTGTGCTGTCTAGTGCAGGAGTTGGTAATCAGTTGCACTGCAGCTTTTTGTTGGGTTGTGCCCCATGCACAAATGCCATAGGTGAGGTAAGGGTAAATGAAAGAGTGGTAATGGTGTGTAGTGCGGCCTGTCATTTCTGCTTTAATCTTCTCCATGTCATTAAAACACCACTCTGTCTTTTTTTTTTTTTTTAAGAAGAGAAAGAAGTCACAGGGGGCTAGACCTAGAGACTAAGGAGGGTGAGGGATGACAGCCAAGTTGTTTTTGGCTAGAAAATGATGACTGGTTTTGAGTAAACAAACTGGCACAAATTTCACAGCCACTCACTTCATGTTCAAATTTGCAGTCAGAATGTTTTAACTCAACCCATAAGAAATTCCCACAGCACTTGCAATGTCCTGGATTCTCTGATAACGATCTTTGTGAACATCCTTCTTTTTTTCTTTTTCTTTTTTTTAATGACATCTGTTTTTAACATTGATGGATGACCAGAGTGTTCATCCCATCATGATCATCATCATGTTCATTCATTCCACTTTGAATTGAGAAGACCATTCAACGCACCGTGTCCGACCCATTGCTTCATTGCCAAATGCTTAACTCACTGACATGACAAAACAATGCCCATCCAGCCTCACCAAAAAGACCAACTACACTGAAACTTGCCACACTACTTCAAAAGGAGTGTATGTAATGATTGATCTTCGCCGCCACCGTATTTAACCTGGGAAGTGTGCCAAAATTTGAGTCCAGGACATTTTTGATAGCACCTTGTATGTGTTGCTGAAGTAGTAGTTTTGTTGGGTGAATATTTGTATGCATAAACAATGGAGGATATAGGAATGTAACAGTTGTGGATATCAAATGAAATAATGTAAGAGAATGCTGTAGCTAAAGCAGATTAATGAGGTTCAAGCAATATTTTTAGAAATATGGATTCTGAAACGCAAAATTAATTCATATCTGAAACAATTTATTTTAAACTCAGAATTTGGGATATTCGCAGATTCTGAATTCATGGGAACCTCTAGGAACGTAATCCCAGAATTGTTTGATTTAACTGCACAGTATTTAATTAGGTATTGTTCATTAAAAAGGTAAAATTTGTTAAACATTTTTCTTCCAGATATTCTATGGTATTTGTGTTTTACACCCTCTGTTTGCTGGTGATGTTGATGATAAGGCCATTCCTTTCATCAAAACTTTTGCCAGGCCGTGGAAAGTCTGCCATCTATTCAGCACTCTACTTCCTCCCAGTCCTTATTGTTATCCATGCTGTTGGAGCAGGGCTTATATGTATGTAAACAAATATTGTCATTTCCTTTTTCATAGCAACACAAACATAGCACATACAGTAAACCCTCATACAGTAGAGGAGATATGTTCTTGGATATTGGTGCCTTGTGCAAATTATTGGTATGTGAGGCTTTGAACATATGGGAAAACTAGGGTTACAGTAAAAAAATCCTCTAAATTTGTTAAACATTTTAAATGTTTTTCTAGGTACAAATTACTGTAAATATTGAAGAAGCAAGCAAGCATCACAATTAAAATGACTTAATGCAGCATTCCCAGTTTTGAGGGTAATTTACAGTAAATTGTTCATTGAAAATGTATACTTAGTAATTTCTATACTTTTAATGTATGACTGTATTCAAATGCTGGAATGTATCTAGTGTTAAACAGAGTTTTTATTTATTTCACAATAAATACATACATTTTTTCTTTTCAGATTATTCCTTCCCATACATGGTGATCATATTGTCAGTAGTATCAAATGCTGCACATTTTGCTTTTCAGTTGGACCAGGTTAGTATTATATTATAAATATTTGTAAAAAAAATTTAGTGATCAGAGAAGTAAAGAAGCAACTCTTGTCTGTAGAAATAGTATTTTTTTTTTTTTTTTTGTGGGAAAGTATATAAATTATGTTGTTTACTCTCTTCAGGCCCCTGAGTTACTGTGAGCACATTCAAAGCAATCACTTTGCTTATTACCAAAGTTGCTGTAGTCTTAATTTTTTATGTCTGATTCCCATTTTCTGTCATGTCATTCCATCTTCTGTATTGTCCAGTCTTTTGCTGTGTTGTCCTAATCTGCTGTGTTGTTCCCTCTTGTTTCACATTCTGCAGTGTTCTATCTTCTGCCATATTGTCCCATCTTCTGCTGTGTTGTCCTGTCTTCTGCCATGTTCTATCATCTGTTTTGTTCTCTTAAGTTCCCTTGTCTTATGTTAGGTAATAAATTCAAGTGTGTCAGGGTGATGACTGTGAAGATAAAATTACACATAATAGGGATGTGACAGTACTTGCACATCTGAAAAAGTAATATAGCACACTGTTCAGTGATTTATATAATAAATTTCTTCTTTTCCATCTTATTGATTTTTCTGTTTCCTTTTGCTTATCTTTACTAATCTTTGTCATTTTTTCTTGCATTTTTTTTTTTTTTTGAATTCCTGTAGTATTTCATGTGTTCCTGTCACAGATTGTGTAAGCATTTATTTGCTTTTGTTCCACTGTTTTACCACTTCCTTTGTTATTATAGTAGACATGTCCAAGAAGTGCATGGTGTATTTTTATCATCATGCTGTCTTAACCCTTTCAGAGTCCGTGCCGTAGATCTACGGCTTTACGTTGAGGGTCCAAACCATAGATCTACGCCATGAGCTCAGCTCACTCTGATAAGCTGTGAGCGGTAAATTTGGGGCTAGATATGAGAGAATACATCTATGTGGTATGTGTGCACCACATAAAACAAATCCTGCAGCACAGACTGCATAATGAGAGAAAAAAAACCTGAGACCGTAATTTTCGATTAAAACAGCAACTTTGCAGTGTTTTTTCGTATGTTTTTGTGGTTGTATTTGCGATTTCTTGGTCTCATTTGATAGAATGGAAGATATATGACAGAAATAGAGATGATTTTGATTGGTTTTAGTACTGAAAATAACTTGAAACTGAGCTCAAATTAGCAGAAATGTTAAATTTTTGCCGATGTTCAAAAGTAAACAAATGACCTCACACGTCTAATACACACCAGCTGGTGGGTCTAATATATGTTCACAAATGTGGTGATATTACTTATACAATTATTACAGTATTGCATAACAGTAAATCTTCTATTTTTTGGTTTGAATAAAAATTCATTATATGAATAAAAAATCAACATGGAATTCATTTGTAAAGCCTGGAATGCCTGCATTGTTTATTCTGAACCCTGTTTTGAAATTGGAATATTTTGAACTTTGCATTAAATTGGCCAAATTACCAATTTCTGATCACTTTATTTTGTAGTTGAAACAGTTGACTTGGCGATTTCTTGTGCTCATTTGATAGAATAGAAGTAATACTAGTGAAATAGGAAAGAATTTGGTTGACTGGAATAAAGTGATTGGCCTAAAATGGGAGTCAAAGTCGGCAAAATCGCCGATGCGTAAATATCGCTGACACACCAAAATTCGCGAGAACATAATTTCGTCAGTTTTCCATCAAATTTCGTACTTTGTTTTATTACCTTGAGATAAAGATTCTCTACCATTTCATAAGAAAAAAAACAAAATTATTTTTGAAAATTCTTTGATCCTGGTGCACACTTTGAAATTTGGCCTCTGGACCCTGAAAGGGTTAAATAAATGCATTTACCTGGTGCATTTTTACAATAATGCTAAATCAAGAAATGCATTTACACTGCATATATACTGCAATACTAACTAAGATACATTTACAGTGCATTTTTACCATCATGCTATCTCAAGAAATGTATTTACACAGTGCATTTTTGTCAGTGTCATATCATACCCAGTTTTTTTTCAACACGTCGGTCGTCTCCCACCAAGGCAGTGTGACCCAAAAAGAAAGAAAATCCCCAAAAAGAAAATACTTTCATTATCATTCAACACTTTCATCTCACTCATACATAATCACTGTCTTTGCAGAGGCACTCAGATATGACAGTTTAAAAGTCAGTCTCCAAACTGCCAATATCCCAGACCCCTCCTTTAAAGTGCAGGCATTGTACTTCCCATTTCAAGGACTCGACTTCGGCTAACTTGTTTCCCTGAATCTCTTCACAAAATATTATCCTGCTCACACTCCAACAGCTCGTCAGGTCCCAAAAACCATTCATCTCCATTCACTCCTATCTAACATGCTCACACATGCTTACTGGAAATCCAAGCCCCTCACTCACAAAACCTTTACCCCCTCCCTCCAACCTTTTCAAGGATGATCCCTACCCCGCTTTCCTTTCTCTACAGATTTATATGCTCTCCAAGTCATTCTACTTTGATTCATTCCCTCTAAATGACCAAACCACCTCAACAACCCTTCATCAGCCCTCTGACTAATACTTTCAGTAACTTCACACCTCCTCCTAATTTCCACACTCAAAATTCTCTGCATAATATTTACACTACACATTGCCCTCAGACAGGACATCTCCAGCCACCTCCTTGGTGCAGCATTTGCAGCCCAAGCTTCACACCCATATAAGAGTGTTGGTACCACTTTCCTTTTGTACATTCCCTTCTTTGCCTCCATGGATAACGTTTTTTTTTTCTCCACAGATACTTCAGTGCACCACTCACCTTTTTTCCCTCATCAATTCAATGGTTAACCTCATCCTTCATAAACCCATCTGTTGACAAGTCAACTCCCCAATACAGTGGACCCCCGGTTAACGATATTTTTTCATTCCAGAAGTATAAACCATACCCCCGGCTGGGATTGAACCCGCGGTCATAGTGTCAAAACTCCAGCCCGTCGCGTTAGCCACTAGACCAGCTGGAGTTTTGACACTCTATGACCGCGGGTTCAATCCCGGCCGGGGGTATGGTTTGTTTGCAATCGTGTCATTACGATTTCTTGAGTCATATTCCAGAAGTATGTTCAGGTGCCAGTACTGACCGAATTTGTTCCCATAAGGAATATTGTGAAGTAGATTAGTCCATTTCAGACCCCCAAACATACATGTACAAACGCACTTTCATAAATACACTTACATAATTGGTCGCATTGGGAGGTGATCGTTAAGCGGGGGTCCACTGTATCTGAAAACATTCACTTCTTCCATACTTCCTCTCTCCAATGTGATATCCAAATTTTCTTTATCTAAATTGTTTCATACCCTCATCACCTTATTCTTATCTATGTTCACTTTCAACTTTCTACCTTTACACACCCTTCCAAACTCCCTCTCTCCTACACACCCTAACCTGAGCTTCACTATCCTCATAAAAACTCTTTGCAGCATTTAGTAACTTACTACCTATTCCATACACTTGCAACATCTGCCACATTGCTCCCCTATCCACTCTATCATATGCCTTTTCTAAATCCATAAATGCAGTGAAAATTTCCCTCCCTTTATCTAAATACTGTTCACATATGCTTCAATGTAAACACTTGATCTACACATCCGCAATCCTACTCTCTGTCTTACCTTTACCGTACACTTTTCCTGGTATATTCAGTAAACTTATTCCTCTATAATTTTGCAGTCTCTTTTGTCCCCCTTCCCTTTATATAAAGGAACTATACATGCTCTCTGCCAATCCCTAGGTACCTTCCCCTCTTTCATACATTTATTAAACAAAAATACCAACCACTCCAACACTATATTTCTCCCTGCTTTTAACATTTCTGTCATGATCCTGTCAGTTCCAGCTGCTTTACCCCCTCTCATTCTACATAATGCCTCGTGCACCTCCCCCACATTCAAATCCTGCTCTTCTTCACTCCTAAAAGATGTTATACCTTCCTGGCCAGTGCATGAAATTACCTCCTCCCTTTCTTCCTCAACATTTAAAAGTTCCTCAAAATATTCCTGCCATCTACCCAATATCTCCAGTTCCCCATCAACTAACTCCCCTTCTCTGTTTTTAACAAACAAATACAGTCGTTCCCTAGGCTTTCTTAGCTTGTTCATCTGACCCCAATTTTTTTTCTTATTTTCAGCAAAATTTCTTGACAGTGCCTCTCCCACTCTCTCATCTGCTCTCTCTTTGCACTCTCTCATTACTCTTTTCACCTTTCTTTTACTCTCCATATACTCTGCTCTTCTTATAACACTTCTGCTTTGTAAAAACCTCTCATAAGCTACCTTTTTCTCTTTTATTACACCCTTTACTTCATCATTCCACCAATCACTCTCTTTCCTCCTGCACCCATCCTCCTATAGCCACAAACTTTTGCCCCACATTCTAATACTGCATTTTTAAAACTATCCCAACCCTCATTAACCCCCCCACTATTCATACTTGCACTAGTCCACCTTTCTGCCAATAGTTATTTATATCTTACCCTAACATCCTCCTCCCTTAGTTTATACACTTTACCCTCTCTCTTACTTGCTGTTGACATTTTTTTGTCCCATCTACCTCTTACTCTAACTGTAGCTATAACTAGATAATCATCCAATATATCTGTTGCCCCTCTATAAACATGTACATCCTGAAGCCTACCTATCATCCTTTTATCCACCAATATATAATCTAACAAACTACTTTCATTACATGCTATATCATACCTTGTATACTTATTAATCCTCTTTTTCATAAAATATGTACATTGGACCCTCGACCAATGATATTAATATGTTCCAGAGAGCTTATCTTTAGGCGAATTTATTTTTAGTCAAATTAATTTTCCCCATAAGAAATAATGGAAATCCAATTAACCCCTTGACTGTCGCAACCCCCAATCCTTAGGTGTCTCCTGGTGTCGCAAAATTTAAAAAAAAAAAATTATTTTTTCTTATGAAATGATAGAGAATCTTTTCCCGATTGTAATGACACCAAAAAAACGAAA